TCGATGCACAAATCATTTTCCACCATATCATTAGCAATAATGTGGATTCACACGTGCATAACTAATTCTGAATAGTGTCCTTTTCCTGCTTGCACTGAGGCAGAATAAACTCTGTGTGCTTTAGTTGTAATTACAACATATTGTTGATACAGAATTTAATCTAATGACATGTATATCATCTGAATATATGAAAATGTAAATACTTGATTGTGGTGTAGTGTTTGGAATGTGAATTCTTTCTTTGATGAAGTACAGAATTTTAGCAATCAGACGCCCCTAGCCATGACATTTGTGAGCAGCAGTTGGAATTAATCTTTTTTTTTTTTTTTTAAGATTCACCAACTAAGGCCCAAATTTAAGAAAAAAATGAAGTGGTTTACAACTCAGACAAGGTCTGAGAATAATTAGGATAAAACAGTAAGGAGATCATTTTAACAGAACAAACTTATCTTCTAATGTCTTCTGACAATTGTAGGATAGGATCTAATAGCTGTTTGCTTTCTGTCTGAAGAAAATAACAAAACTTAATAGTCATATTTTGTGCATAACAAAACCCACTGCTTTTGAATGACAGAGTATTTATAAATTACCAGTTTAACGTACTTTATTTAGAGATCTGATGTGGGGCACCACACAGCTTAGTGCAATTATCTCCGAAAGGAGTGATGGTTATTTTAAGTAATTTGCTATATTCCACCCGTTATGGACTGCCATTTAAAAGACTTCACTATATGGCATCCTGCACCCCATTACAGAATGCTTTTCATCACTTTGATTAGAGTGCTTTTCATGCTGTGTGAAATCACACCCTATGAACGGTTTTGTTGTTCATATGTTTGGAAACTGCTACTGTCATAAATATAAAGGGAAGGGTAAACCCCTTTGAAATCCCTCCTGGCCAGGGGAAAGCTCCTCTCACCTGTAAAGGGTTAAGAAGCTAAAGGTAACCTCGCTGGCACCTGACCAAAATGACCAATGAGGAGACAAGATACTTTCAAAAGCTGGGAGGAGGGAGAGAAACAAAGGGTCTGTGTCTGTCTGTATGCTGGGTCTTGGCCGGGGATAGACCAGGAATGGAATCTTAAAACTTTTAGTAAGTAATCTAGCTAGGTATGTGTTAGATTATGATTTCTTTAAATGGCTGAGAAAAGAATTGTGCTGAATAGAATAACTATTTCTGTCTGTGTATCTTTTTTGTAACTTAAGGTTTTGCCTAGAGGGGTTCTCTATGTTTTTGAATCTAATTACCCTGTAAGATATCTACCATCCTGATTTTACAGGGGGGATTTCTTTATTTCTATTTACTTCTATTTTTTATTAAAAGTCTTCTTGTAAAAAACTGAATGCTTTTTCATTGTTCTCAGATCCAAGGGTTCGGGTCTGTGGTCACCTATGCAAATTGGTGAGGCTTTTTATCCAACATTTCCGAGGAAAGGGGGGTTGCAAGTGTTGGGAGGATTGTTCATTGTTCTTAAGATCCAAGGGGCTGGGTCTGTAGTCACCTAGGCAAATTGGTGAGGCTTTTTACCAAACCTTGTCCAGGAAGTGGGGTGCAAGGTTTTGGGAAGTATTTTGGGGGGGAAGGACGCGTCCAAACAGCTCTTCCCCAGTAACCAGTATTAGTTTGGTGGTGGTAGCGGCCAGTCCAAGGACAATGGGTGGAATATTTTGTACCTTGGGGAAGTTTTGACCTAAGCTGGTAAAGATAAGCTTAGGAGGTTTTTCATGCAGGTCCCCACATCTGTACCCTAGAGTTCAGAGTGGGGGAGGAACCTTGACAGCTACCTTTCTAGTTTTAATGTTTACAGTAACTCAGTTTATGGGGGGGCAAGAGATCTGCAGCTAGCCAGGTGAGCTACATATTTTAATATTACATATTGTAGCTATAAAGTGCAGTTCTGACAACACTGTAGGTAAGAGAGTCCAACAGATCAGACTGAAGGAAAAAGATAGGCCAAGCGGAGAAGTGCTGGGATGTCAAATGTGGTGTGATAGAGAACATGGCACTGAACAGAGCATTTTGGAGGGAGAGGAGGGGGAGGGATAGCTCCGTGGTTTGAGCATTGGCCTGCTAAACCCAGGGTTGTGAGTTCAATCCTTGAGGGGGCCATTTAGGGATCTGGGGCAAAAATTGGGGATTGGCCCTGCTTTGAGCAGGGGATTGGACTAGATGACCTCCTGAGGTCCCTTCCAACCCTGATATTCTATGATTCTATGTCTATGATAATGTAGACTGAGTTATGTGATTAATGCAAGGAAGAAGATTGTAACTATAACAAGCTCAAGAGTGAGAAATATTATTGAAAGCCAGAATGAAATAGACATCCTGGCATACCATATAGAAATAAATGACAACTGGTATTTTGGGTGACATGCATGGTAATTAATAGACTACAGTTTTTACTCAGCTGGACAAGTCATTGAATTTTTCAGTTCGGATTTCTTTTCAGTTGGGAAAACTTAGAATGACTATTTCTTACTGTGTTAATGTGATAACTAGCTGCCAGTGAGGGAAAACCTTGATAAAATTTCAATTGAAATACAAATTGCAGAGGAGCAGAACCGGTACCTTGATAGACGGCATGTTTGCTTAAATTAGATCACTGCCAGGGGACAAATTCATTTCAGAGCAGTTCATTTCAGTGGCAATCAGAACAATGTTTTTGGAAGTGGACACGAATTTTGGGGTGCTTCCATTTTTATACTGAAACTCCTCAGTCCCAACTGAGATACCATGCACCAGATTTTAGAGGTACTGAGCTCTTGCGTCTTCCATTGGCTTTAGTGATGTAGTAGTGATGTAAAGGGCTTATAGAGTTGGGACCTGCAGACCCACTGATGGGGGTGGGAAATTAATGTAACCATGATTGGCCCCTCTGTATCCTGCCCTAGTGTTTCTCTCACACTTGCTACGCTTGCGTTTGGATTGCAATAACTCCTGCTCAGCAGCATGTGGAAGGGAGAGAGACTATAGGAGGGCTTATACTGAGCTCTCCAACAATAGGCTGATTTTGGGGATGTGAGGGTCTTGAGGCTAGTTATGGGGAGATGTTAGCCAGGGTGGTAGGCTCAGGAGCTCCTTAACCTCTTTAATAACTCCTTGGCTGTCACTCAGACAAGAAGAGCTCATCCTTCACACCAGGTGCCTCCCATCATGTCACACCCACTGCCATATGTGATTGACACATGCAACCTGGAAATCAGCTGGAGTTTTGCCATTGATTTCAATAGGATCAGGATTTCACCCTTTGAGTCTATCTCAAGGAGAAGGTGTAGGTCTGGGTGGCTCTCTGCAGTAGCTGATAAGTGAATGTTTCTGCTTCAACACTCAATTAGTGGTCTGCGGCTTCAGTCACCTCCTTAGCCACACCACTCAAATGGCCAGTATGAGGCAGATTGCAGTTTATTTGACAATCCAAAATGGTGCCGCATAAACATAAGAACTGCCATAGTGGAGTAAGACCAGTGGTCCACCTAGCCCTGTATCTTGTCTCCAACAATGGCTGGTAACAGAGCTTCAGGAGGAGTGTACAGAATGGGGCAGTTGGAGTGTTCCACCCATCTTCCCCTCCCAACTTCTTGGATGTTGGCTAATAGCCATTGATGGACACGAATAAAGACAGGTTACATGGATCAGGCTTGGGGAAGGGAAGATAGTATGAGTTGGCGCAAATAATGTGTTACACAAGGGCTAATTGTTGCCCCACATACGACATGCCAAAATTAATGAGATTTATGCATATGTATCTCAAGGTAGAACTAGGCCTATTAAAATATTTTTTATTAATGATCACAATATTTGAAATGTCTGTTAGTCTCTTTGGAAGCTTGAAAGTATTCATGAAGTGGGGAAGGAAACGCCACACTTAAGGGAAGAAAATACTTTTTAAACAGCAAATTTCAGTTTTTAATTTAAGAGGAAGTTCACGTTGTTTTAATGGAAGGGATTGACGCTGTCTAGAACTCAATGCCATTCTGTGCAAATATTGAAAATGAGCTCAAGTACCAAATCATGTTGGGAGAGAATGATCTAAAACCAAACAGGCCATGCAAGTTTGGCCTATCAAGTCTAGCATCCTTCCTCAGTCAGCGAGCTATGCCTTGGAGGAAGGTGGGAGAGAAAGGAAACCAATAGAATGGGGCCTAACAGGTCTGCACCCATACATATGTGGCCTTGCTCTTAATGTACTTGAATGTTTTATGAACCTCAGTATCGGTAGATGGCTGTTCTTCATGTTACCTCGTTGTCTTTTTTATTTCTAATTTCCTGGCATTGTCTACATTCCATTTTTTTGTGCTATTTGGGTAGGATTGCCACTTTTTTAAAAGATGCTATATCTGTCTTAATATACTAATTTACTTATTCAAATAACCATAGAGGGTTTATCCTGCCTTTTTAAAAAATCTTTAAATATTTTATAGAACTACAAGTCAAATTTACTGTTCTAGTGGTGTTTGATTAGAATGATTTTTCAGGATCTAATTTGCCCACTTACATTGAATAGTACCATACTATGTGAGTGATCCCATTGGTTTCAGTGGAATTACTTGCATAGTAAAGTATTACTCAGTGTAAAGTTTTCAGAATTGGATCTTGATGGATTAGTTGCAGTTTTTCTCTTCAGGGATATGTCTTTGCACTTCTTTATCAATGAAACAGCTCAGTTGCTAACGTACTTACTGAGGGGGAGTCAAAGGAAACCATAATAATGAAAACTGAGATCTTATCAGTGCTTAATTTATGCCAGGACTGAGCCCCGGCACCTCTAAGCTTGGCAGTTCATTGCCCTGGTACATCTGTGCTTGCTGCATCAGTAATATAAAAAAATTGCTTGAGCCCTGGCACCTCAATAGTAGTCATGGTGCTACTGAGGTGTTTTACTTGGAGAATAGCAAGGGGTGATTAGGTAGCAAAAATCAACAGTGTTCATCTGAAAAGTCTCATGTTTCCCCCTCAATCTCATTTTTAATGTCTGCAAATGTTTCTTTTCTCTTCTTAGGCAATGTTCAGTCTCTGTATGGTTGAAAGTGGAGCTGATGAGGTGAATTTGCATGGTGTCACAAGCCTAGGTTTAAAGCAGGCCCTGGACTTTGCATACACTGGACAGGTATTGTACAATTCTTCAAATTCAAACACCTAAATCAAAAAATATAATCATTCTTGCTACTATAGAAACTAATGCTAAGTGTCAGCTATACAAGTTTTAATTTGATATTATTAATCTTCTGCACTTGCAAAGTATGAAGTGTTTGGGCTTGTCAATACAAAACTTTGGAGTAGAAATTATTTTCTGGATAAAATCCATGTAAAAAAGAAAAACCTCTTTATCCTCATAGTTCTGAAATCATAGAATCACAAAAATGTAGGGTTAGAAGGGATGTCAAGGGGTCATCTAGTCTAGCCCCCTGCACTGAGGCAGGACAACTATGCCTAGACCATTCTGACAGGTTTTTGTCTAACCCAATGGTTCTCAAACTGTGGGTTGGGATCCCAAAGTGGGTCGCGACCCCCTTTGAATGGGGTCACCAGGGCTGTCTTAGACTTGCTGGGGCTCAGGGCTGAAGCCAAAGCCTGAGGGCTTCAGCCCTGGGTTGCGGAGCTCAGGTTGCAGGCTCCTTGCCTGGGGCTGAGACCCTTGAGCTTCAGCATTGGCCTCCCTGCCCAGAGCAGTGAGGCTCTGGCTTTGGCCCCCCACCTGGGGCAGTGGGGCTCAGGCGGGCTCAGGCTTTGGTCCCCCCCGCCCCTAGGGTCATGAAGTAATTTTTGTTGTCAGAAGGGGGTCACAGTGCAATGAAGTTTGAGAACCTCTGGACTAACCTGTTCTTAAAAACCTCTAGTGATGGGGATTCCACAACCTCCTTTAGAAGCCTATTCCAGAACTTATCTACCCTTATCCTCTGAAAGTTTTTCCTTATAGCTGACATAAATCACCCTCACTGCAGATTAAGCCTATTACTTTTTGTCCCACCTTCGGTGGACATAGAATCATAGAATATCAGGGTTGGAAGGGACCTCAGGAGGTCATCTAGTCCAACCCCCTGCTCAAAGCAGGGCCGATCCCCAATTAAATCATCCCAGGCGGGGCTTTGTCAAGCCTGACCTTAAAAACCTCTAAGGAAGGAGTTTCCACCACCTTCCTAGGTAACGCATTCCAGTGTTTCACCACCGCCCAGTGAAAAAGTTTTTCCTAATATCCAACCTAAATCTCCCCCACTGCAACTTGAGACCATTACTCCTTGTTCTGTCATCTGCTACCACTGGGTACAGTCTTGATCCATCCTCTTTGGAACCCCCTTTCAGGTAGTTGAAAGCTGCTATCAAATCCCCCCTCATTCTACTCTTCCGTAGACTAAGCATCCCCAGTTCCCTCAGCCTCTCCCCATAAGTCATGTGTTCCAGTCCCCTAATCATTTTTGTTGCCCTCCGCTGGACTCTTTCCAATATTTCCACATCCTTCTTGTAGTGTGGGGCCCAAAACTGGACACAGTACTCCAGATGAGGCCTCACCAGTGTTGAATAGAGGGGAACGATCACGTGCCTCGATCTGCTGGCAATGCCCCTACTTATACAGCCAAAAATGCTGTTAGCCTTCTTGGCAACAAGGGCACACTGTTGACTCATATCCAGCTTCTCGTCCACTGTAACCCCTACGTCCTTTTCTGCAGAACTGCTGCCTAGTCATTCGGTCCCTAGTCTGAGGCAGTGCACTGGATTCTTCTGTCCTAAGTGCAGGACTCTGCACTTGTCCTTATTGAACCTCATCAGATTTCTTTTGGCCCAATCCTCCAATTTGTCTAGGTCCCTCTGTATCCTATCCCTACCCTCCAGCGTATTTACCTCTCCTCCCAGTTTAGAGTCATCTGCAAACTTGCTGAGGATGCAATCCACACCATCCTCCGGATCATTTATGAAGATATTGAAAACCCACCCCAGGACCGACCCTTGGGGCACTCCACTTGATACCGGCTGCCAACTAGACATGGAGCCATTGATCGCTACCCATTGAGCCCGACAATCTAGCCAGCTTTCTATCCATCTTTCTATCCACCTTATAGTCCATTCATCCAGCCCATACTTCTTTAACTTGCTGGCAAGAATACTATGGGAGCAGTGTCAAAAGCTTTGCTAAAGTTAAGGAACAACATGTCCACTGCTTTTCCTTCATCCACAGAACCAGTTATCTCATCATAGAAGGCAATTAGATTAGTCAGGCATGACTTGCCCTTGGTGACATGTAGAATTGATCACCATCCTCTCTAACAGCACTTAACATAAATATGAAGACTATTATTTCAAGACTATCACTCTCTTCTTTTCTCAAGACTAAACATGCCCAGGTTTTTTAACTTTTCCTCATAGGTCAGGTTCTCTAAACCTTTTATCATATGTGTTGTTCTCTGTACTCTCTCAAGTTTGTTCATGTTTCTTAAAGTGTTGTGCCCAAGACTGGACACAGTACTCCACCTGAGGCCTCAACAGTGCCAAGTAGAGTGGAATAATTAGGACACTCCTGTTAGTACACCTGTCATAAATGTAAAGGGAAGGGTAACCACCTTTCTGTATACAGTGCTATAAAATCCCTCCTGGCCAGAGGCAAAACCCTTTCACCTGTAAAGGGTTAAGAAGCTAAGGTAACCTTGATGGCACCTGACCCAAAATGACCAATGAGGGGACAAGATACTTTCAAATCTGGAGGGGGGGGGAGGAACAAAGGATCTGTCTGTGTGATGCTTTTGCCGGGAACAGATCAGTAATGCAGCCTTCCAACTCCTGTAAAGTTAGTAAGCAATCTAGCTAGAAATGCGTTAGATTTCCTTTTGTTTAATGGCTGGTAAAATAAGCTGTGCTGGAGGGAATGTATATTCCTGTTTTTGTGTCTTTTGTAACTTAAGGTTTTGTCTAGAGGGATTCTCTATGTTTTGAATCTGATTACCCTGTAAGGTATTTACCATCCTGATTTTACAGAGGTGATTCTTTTACCTTTTCTTTAATTAAAATTCTTCTTTTAAGAACCTGATTGATTTTTCATTGTTCTTAAGATCCAAGGGTTTAGGTCTGTGTTCACCTGTACAAATTGGTGAGGATTCTTATCAAGCTTTCTTTTGGCTTGGGGGGATATTTTGGGGGGAAGACTTCTCCAAGTGGTCTCTTTCCCTGTTCTTTGTTTAAAATGCTTGGTAGTGGCAGCATATGGTTCAAGGAAGCTTTTAACCTAAGCTGGTAAGAATAAGCTTAGGGAGTCTTTCATGCAGGTCCCCACATCTGTACCCTAAAGTTCAGAGTAGGGAAGGAACCTTGACAGCACCCCAGAATGATATTAGTCTTTTTTCACTGCTGAAGCACATTGTTGGCTCATACTTAATTTATGATCTACTACAATTCCCAGATCTTTCTTTCAGCAATGCTACTGCCTAGCTTGGAAAAGAGGAGACTAAGGGGGAATATGATAGAGGTATAATAAAATCAGGAGTGGTGTGGAGCAAGTGAATAAGGAAAAGTTATTTACTTATTCCCATAATATAAGAACTAGGGGCCACCAAATGAAATTAATGGGCAGCAGGTTTAAAATAAATAAAAGGAAGTTCTTCTTCACACAGTGCACAGTCAACCTGTGAAACTCTTTGCCTGAGGAGGTTGTGAAGGCTAGGACTATAACAGGGTTTAAAAGAGAATTAGATAAATTTATGAAGGTTAAGTCCATTAATGGCTATTAGCCAGGATGGGTAAGGAATGGTGTCCTTAGCCTGTGTTTGTCAGAGGGTGGAGATGGATGGCAGGAGAGAGATCACTTGATTATTACTGGTTAGGTTCATTCCCTCTGGGACACCTGGCATTGGCCACTGTCGGTAGACAGGATACTGGGCTGGATGGACCTTTGGTCTGACCCAGTATGGCCATTTTTATGTTCTTAGCGAGTTATTCCCCATTTTTATATTCATGTGCCCTAAGTATTTTCTATTCTAAGAGTACACTTGTCTTGACTGAATTTCATCTTGTTGATTTCGCACCAATGCTCCAATTTGTCAGGGTCATTTTGAATTCTAATTCTGTCCTCCAAAGTGCTTGCAACCCCTCCCAGTTTAATGTCTTCTTACTCCTCTACAAATTTTATAAGTGTACTCTCTGCTCCATTGTTCAAGTAATTAATGAAAATGTAGAAAAGTACTGGACCCAGGACTGACTAGATACGTCACCTCACTACATACATCCTCTCGGTTTGACTGCAAACCATCTATAACTACTCTGTCAACTAGTCTTTCAACCAGTTGTGCACCCATGTGACGAGGTCACAACTCACCACCACTGGTGCCTCCCGCTGGTTGCTCTGAGAATTAGCTCTTGTCAGCTGCGGAGCGCCCTCAGCGCGAGGAGTCTTGCCCGTTGTCTGCTCTGCTGCCTTGGGACCCGCGTTGCTCCCTGCTCGGTGGCGTCCTCTTCAGGACACTGCCCTCCGGCAGTGTCCACTATTCCAGTCTCACCCCCTTCCAGGGGGGTTAACAGCAGTCTTTCAGCTTGCACCTGCCTCAGTGGCCAACCACAACCCCAAAGTTTAGCCCCTTATTTCAGGAGCAGGTTGCAGTCTGTCTTGGCCCCACTCCTGTGTGGCCAGGTGCAGTGTAAGGGGGGAAGGAGGGGACCCAGGCCCACCCACTACTCTGGGTCCTGACCCAGGGACCCTCTAGCAGCAGCCTCTCTCTGCCCTCCTTCTCTCCCCTCTTGTCCGACTATGTTCCTTGGGCCACTTCCCCTTTGGCCCTGTGCACCTTCTCGACCCTTCTTAGCAGGGCCACAGCCTGGCAGGTAACCAGGCCGGAGCTCTCCTCTGCTCCCTGGAGCCTGCCCAGCACTGCTCTGTCCAAGGTGCTAGCTCCTTCCCTCAGGAGCCAGTCCGTCTCCCTTGCTAGCCTTTATATAGAACCCAGCCCAGTCCTGATTAGCTGCATCTTCCTTGGCCCTGATTGGCTCTCTCTAGGCCTTTGTTGATTGGCTGCTGTTCTGCGCAGCCTCTCTGGCCTGTTCCAGCCCTTTTTCTCAGAGGGTGGGGCAGCCGCCCCACCACAATCCACCTCATAGTAGATCTATCTAAACCAGTGCTTCTCAAGCTAT